CTCTCTTCCACAGCATGTCTTTTATCCTGTCTTCCTTCTCTCACCCCAACCGGTCGCAGCAGATGGCCCCGCCCCTCCCTGAGCCTGGTTCTGCCTCCTGTTAAAAGGGAGTTTTTCCTTCCCACTGTCGCCAAAGTGCTTGCTCATAGGGGGTCATATGATTGTTGGGTTTTTCTCTGTATCTATGAAGCGACTTTTTGTCACGGACCCAGTTCCAGGGATTCGGGGTCCGTGAGCAGTCTGGACTGCTATTGTAGTTATTATCATTATTATTGTGGTTATTGTTATTATGGTTGTGTCTGCTGTCCTGTTGTCCGTGTTGGTGTACTGTCAGGTGTTTATGGGTATGTGTGTGTGAGGGTGCGGTCGTGGCAGGCACTTTTAGGCCTGGTGGGTGTGGCCCTGCCAGCTGACCGGTCCCACCCAGGAATCCACACACACCTGGCGCCGATCAAGCCTCGTCAGAGGAGCTTCAAAACAGTGTGGCTGAGAGCTCCTCTGACGCTGGATCGTTGAGTGACTTCCCGTCAGTCTTTAATCCATGTGCAAGGTTAGTGCAAGTCTACTGTTAGGTTTTGTACTCACGGCTGCCTTTTGTATGCGTGTTTCCTCAGGAGGAATTGTGGCGACCAGGAGGCAGCACACGGAGAGTACACAGGGAACGGAGACAGAGCACGGAGCACGGGATAAAGGAGAAGACACGGAATGGGAGTTGGGATCGCACGGGGGATTTATTGTTGTTTGGATTGTCACCACTGTAAATAAACACTGTTGCACTGTAGAGTCCTGCATTTTGGGTCCTCCTTTCCCCACATCCCCACGGTCTGCCAGCGAGACCGTGACACTTTTGTTGTGATTTGGCGCTATATAAATAAAATTGAATTGAATTGAATCTCCATATGTTTAATTATCAAGGGGTTGCATTTGTGTAGTTTTGATGACTTGTGTCAGAAACATGGTTTGGATAAAAATGATTTTTACAGATATTTGCAGCTTCGTGAGTACTTCTCAGAAAACATGGAAGGTCTCTGTCCAATGGAAGTTCCTCATGTTATCCAGATATTCATGAATGCCTTTAACTTAGGCAATAGCAATGGTCTAGTAAGTAAGCTGTACTGTAGTGTGGAGGGAAAGAGTAAACAGGGTTTTGTGCCCTCACAAAAAGTTTTTTGTATTTTTCTGAAAAGACAGCTAATTTTGTGTTACTTTTCAAGTGCCTTTATCATTTCACATGTTATTAACTAAAGACAGTATTTTGGCTGATGCAACTTAGAAATGAACAAAATGCATACAGCATACATAGTTTAATTTAAAAAAAGATTACATTTAATCAAAACTGACGTTGGAATTTGGGGTTGTGAGAGTTACTGTCCCTCCTAAATGGAGGGCTTGGACTTTGTATCTTTTGTAGGCTTGGACTTGACTTTGGGCAGGTGCAGTGTCTGCAGGCCCAAATATGTTGCTGGTTGGTCCACCTAATTATGATCACCTCTGGGTCCAAAAAATCAACATGGTGGTGTCCGTCACACTACAACACAGAGTGCAATAACCAGGGGATGAGGTCACGATGGCTGTGTCCAATTTGACATCACGTGTCAGCGTGTTTGTTTCAGTTCCTCAAGTTCACGAAGCCAAAGCCAGCCAGCCTGTGGCAAAAGATAAACAGCACCCATAGCCGATGCACCAGCCAAGGAAGAGCCAACCGCTGCCACTGCCGCTGCTGTCTCGGCACCCTCAGAGCCTGAGCCCACGCCTTCCTCATTTCCTGATGACACATCCCTGAAGAACCAGGAGCCCCGCCTGGGACCCAAGCCTCGCTCACACAAAAGGGTCCTCAACCCTCCTGAGAAATGTCTAGTGTGCTGAGCGTGCCACCTCTCCCAGTTTGTGTCCATAAACCTCTTTTTCTGCTCCCCTGTTAATCTTCTCTCATTCTTACACTGCTCTTTGATGGTCATGTGATCTCTACACCTAAATACAGCCCAGTTATTGTTGTTGTTCACACTTGACCCAGGTCTCATAAGTTGTCCTCAACATCTTGCACTTTCATCCCCCGTTTCTGACTCCCTGCCATCTGTCTTCTCCTCGATATTCTTCTATAACGAAACCTGCATTTATTACAATCACCAATGAGTCAGCTGAATGGCTAGCTTATCACTTTAACTGAAACACTGTTCAATCTCAACTTTGCACCTACCATTTTCATCATTTATGTTACAAGCATTTGTAAGTGCAATTTGTTTGGAGGCACAATCGTCTGATTTTTGTGTGTGACAACATTTCTGCATCTCAAGAACGGTTTGGACTACTTGCACAATTTTGCGCTTTAAACTGACCTGCAGTTTGGTTTGGCTAAAAACTTCAGAGCAGACATTTGCCCAAATTTCTGGGCGCTTTCTTGGGTCAGCACAGCTTCTCAGTTTAATACAGATTATAGCCTTGGGCTAATTTCCATCTGCAGACCCTCTGGCAGGTTGGTGTTACACACAAATTAGTAAAAACATACAGAGACAACAATAACAGGACAAAAACAGTGATCACATTAAATTAGAACAAACAATGACAAGAAGAGTGGAAAACAGAGGACAATACAGATAACAATAACGGAAACACATCAGTTATATTGCACAAACCCCACACATGCCCTGACTGTCCTGATATTGCACTGACCCATTACACTAATAGTTGTTTCCCTTTTTGTAATACACTAACTCTTTTTCACGTCCAACATAAAGCATGATTAAACATGATCACATGTTTGCGTGTGCCTCAGCCACCCTTTTAAGTGACTCTTAAAGATAGGGAGACTTGCACTTTCCCTCACTGACAGGGGAAGAGTATTCCAGAAGCTCAATGCAATGACAAAGTTCAGACCTTAACCTGATGGAAATCCGTTGGTGCGACCTTAAGAGAGATGTGCATAAACAAATACCCCCAAACTTCAATAAACTTAAGCAACATTGTAAAGAAGAGTGGACCAAAATTCCTCCACAGTGATGTGAAACAGCAATAAAATCATACAGAACATCATTGCTTCAAGTTATTACTGCCAAAAGTGCTGCAGGTTTCTCTGTGCTGCTTTTTTGTTGTTGTTGTTGGTTTTTTTTCTGTGGGGGGGGGGGGGGGGGGGGAGTCACTTGGGGAACAGTTTCAGGCCTTTATTGGCCAAGCTATCTATGATAGAGATGCAAAATCTATAGATTTGAACAATCATACTGAAAATCAAATGTTCAAAATGTAAATTTGGTGACAGGTTAACAGAAAGCTTGAAATATTTATTCTGACAGGGAATCCGTGTCTGAGATTTGAATATTTAACCCTAAAGGGCTGTTTTCATATCTGGAGGCAACGGGATTGTAAAGCATTGAGTTTCATTTTTGGTTAGTGCATCGGCATAATTATTCTGGCACCAAGCAGCGATGTGACCTGTGGATTACTGCAGGATAAAATAATACTTCTGGGCCCAGCTTTCAAAGTAAAAGCAGTTGTGGGAAACTGGCAAATGCTTTATTTCCATCAGCATTTAAAAAAGCTAAAGAATAAATAAATAAATAAATAAATAAAAAGGGTGAGTGGTGCGCTGGATGAATGAGAAAACGACTCTGTGAAGACAAAACAAAGCTATAAAAATGTCCACGTGCACAGACATGCACACAAAAACTGCCTGACTCCTTGCTGGCTGTAACTCACCGCGCGTGATCACCTGTAATGTTCGTTAATAAGACAGACACGTGACCATTCTGATAGCCGTGTGCCATTTAAATTAGCATAGCTCACCAGCCATCATGGAAATCCGATAACAACGCAGTGGTGGGGGGTGGGGGGGTCGCTTCACATTCTAACTTTAAACAAAGGATTTTAAAGCTATTTGGTGTGGGTTTAAATCACATTTAAAAAAATCTTAACTTTAAAAAACTGATGAATTGATGATTATCTCATACATCAACACTTTGGAAAAGTGGCAAGAGGGAATCTCCCTCTAAGATCATTTCATGCACCTTTATGAGCAACATTTTACACTTCCATCACAGCTAAATGAGCCCTCATTCATTTGATCATATTTGGTTCATTTCCTGGGATTCATCTGTTCCTGGGATAGATGACAGTGTGAAGGAATTCCCAAGCTGGGTGCATGACTCTGGGTAGCTTGCATCAAAAACAAAAAAATGCTTTGATGCAGCCATTAACAGACCTTAGACTCCAAAACACATTGCTTGCATTAACTGAACTTTCAAAACAGAGCTACCTTAAATTACACAATTGAAACATATGTGTATTGTTTGTGTATTTATACACAAACACTCATATATATTCAAATGATTTTAAAAAAAAGTCCATTTACCTGTTACTACCACACCAAATCTGGTCGTTAGTACTTCCTGTCTTGTGTAGCCACTATGATCCTGGAGCATTTCCATTGTGTTTTGGAGTTTGTAAGTGCTTTGTCTCTAGGGGCCACCGTAAGTATACTTTTATTTATTCACTCCACATAAAATCTAATAAATAAATTATAAAATACAACAAAAAAAAATTACATTTCAACTTTTAACCTTTTAAATGTTCTGCTTTTTCCTTTTAAACAAATTTTCAAGTGAAACAACACAAAACACTGCAAACCACAGCACAATAAAACATAAATTAAAATATGCAAAACAAGAAGAAGATACACATTCTCTGTCATATAGGTCTGGGATGATTTCTGGGAGAGTGTTTTCCTGCTTGGAATCGCAAACATGGGATTCACTGCATGGATAAACTTTCTGAATCCTTTTTCATCCGCAACTGAAAATAGTTGTGGATGATGACTATACCTTTCTAACGTGACGATGTTGTCTCTTGTTGTTGTCCCTGGCTCGCTATCTCTCTATTTCCCTCCTGCTCTGTTCCTGCTACTGTATTATATGCTACTATGCTTCTATATTAGATTTTTTTTTCTATGATTTATTTTATGATTTGCAAAAGGTTCTCCCTGATTGTACTTTTTTCATTATTTTTGACTCCTCGAGGACACCGTAGTAATGTGATCGGAACTTCCATAGAAAAAACAAATTCGCTGTTTTGAAAAGGTAAGCTGTGGTTTGTGCTGCATATTTCTGCATTTTTTGTTGTTATTGTTGTTGTTTCCGATGCTTGTTAATGTGCTGGTGGTTCCCTCACTGTTTCACAAACGCTATTATGCAGATTCGAAAGCAGTATGATTTTAATTTATCTATCGTTATGATGCACGATAATATTATCGGAAGGTCTTTATAGTACCAAAAAGAGGAGGAATAAAAAACTGCTTAAAGAGTGAATTGGATCACATACGATTTGATGAGTTGCAGTGCATTTGTAAAGTTAGTGTTTAAGTTTAAGTTAGTGTTGTCAAAGTTCAAAGTGCGCTGCATTACATAATCAGAGACGTTGCAAAACTACACCCAAGTGTGATGAAGTTTACTTGCTGATTCGTGCATGTATAGCAGATACTTATAAATATAACTATTGAAATATGCTGGTTGAGCCAATCATGCAATAGAATTTAATTGCATGGGAAATATCTGAAGTGCTTTGTGTGTGTGTGTGTGTGTGTGTGTGTGTGTGTGTGTGTGTGTGTGTGTGTGTGTGTGTGTGTGTGTGCACTCCAGTGCTGCCAGTATGGAGGGAGATCCTCTCTCAGCCCTGTGTACTCCTGCTTTTGTGGTGGACGTGGACAAAGCGAAGAGGAATGCCCAGAGGATGATCGAGCGCTGCCAGAAACTGGGAGTCCAGCTTCGTCCACACATGAAGACCCACAAAACCCTGTATGGATTCATACGCTCATGCATAGACACGCACACAGCACATGCTTACAGACTTGCTGCGTATACAGGATTCTGATGAGGTCTCTGTGTGTGTCTAGTGAGTGTGCTGACATTATGACGGGTGGATCACAGAGGTGCATAGTGGTTTCCACCCTGGCAGAGGCCTGTTTCTATGCTGACCATGGATATGATGACATCCTCTATGCCTACTCTATTCCCTTTGATAAGGTTCTCTCAGCTCACACTTTAAATGTGTCCTTGTTTTATATTCTGTGAAATCATAAAAGCTGTAAAACATTAGAAATGGAAAAAATAGATTATTAATAACTGAGCCTGCTGAAAATGTATGAATCATATTTAGTAATATTATCACTAGAAACAATACATATATGTAAATATATGATACATGTATATCGCCATAGCACTTGCATGTAAAATAGCTCCAGTTCTATGCCATTACTTTGACATAATTTCTCATCACTTTTATATTTGTTAGTTGTTAATGTCCCAGCTGTGCTCTCTGTGCCATTTTTAATGTATGTCTCTGTGTGTCTTTAGGTAGAGCGTTGTGCAGCCCTGTCAGAGAGACTGGCTCTCTTCCAGATTTTATTGGACCATCCTGATGCTTTGGAGCAGCTCCGAAAAAGACCCCTGAAAGATGGCCGGCAGTGGCACGCCTGGCTCAAACTCGACTGTGGCAATGGGAGAGGTAAACGTGCAGGGAAACCACGATAGATTTAATCATAAGTGCCTGAGCTACACTTCACTTCTCTGTTAACACGAGGATTGATCATGTGTCGGCTCTTTGTCATAGCTGGCGTCCTGCACTCGGAGCCAGGAGCGCTCAAACTGGCTGAAGCCATCGCTAAGACGGAGGGCGTGGAACTTACAGGAGTGTACGCCCACTGTGGAAATACCTATTACTGCACAGGAGTTGAGCAAATACAGGCTGTTGCCCAGGAAACCACCAAACTGACTCTGCAGTTCATGGAAAAGTAAGCTGAAAGCTTAAAAAAATACACTGACTCATTAAAGCTGCTCTAATCAATAATTTTATCTCACTGGCTATTTAAGAACGCACACGACATAACAGCTGTTGCTCATACTCTTGAAAATTAGTTTTTATAAGCTGTTTTAACATCTTTGTTTTGGTTTCACAGCCCACAGGTTTCTTGTATTGAGTCACGCAGCTTTGTTTCCAGAAGCAACAAAAAAATCATACATCATATCTAAAAATGATGTATCCCATGTTTTGCACCAGACTGTAAACATGTTTCTGCTCTAAATTTAAGCATTTTCTCATGGGTGTGATTGACTCTCTTTTGGAGCCATCTGGGAGAATAATTCTGCATTAACTTTCAACTGGTTTTTTGTTTGTTTGTTTTGGGATTGTTTTTGTGTCAGACTGAGGGCTGTTGGCATCACCTGTAAGTCCAGCATTGGCTCCACCCCTTCCTGTAGCCATCCAGTCAAAGACATGGCGCAGCTGAGCGAGGTCCACCCAGGAAACTACGTCTTCTATGGTGTGTACACATAGACCCACTGTTTCCTAGTATATAGGTGAGGTGTAAAATCCACTTTTTCGTTATTTGTTGTGTATATTCAATTCATTTGCCCTATAAAAACAGTCCCCGACAGTACTGTCCTCTTAAGGTCATGACACATAGCTGCCTCTTAGTTTTGTCTACTTGTCCGACATGTTTCTAGTTGACTTCGGGACCCGACAATGTTTAAAGCTACAGGCGCTGAAACAGCCTGTTTGGAGCAGAGGTTTATTAAACAGTCTATAGGTATGGCAGGATAAATGACCTTATTGGTATTTTGAGCTGAGGAATAGTCGGGAGACATGTCACACTTAAAATATATTTTTCAAAAGGGCCTTTAAATTACAATTTCTTTTAAATGCATGTTTGTGGCATGCAGATGTGCAGCAGTCTATGATTGGCTCATGCTGTATGGAGGACGTGGCTGTGAGGGTTCTCACAAGAGTCATCGGTCACTGTCCACACAGGAACCAGCTCCTGATTGACTGTGGATGGGCTGGAATCAGGTGGGTTCAACTTCATTCAATGGGAGCTAATACCTATCCCCTAAGTTCTGTTTTTTGTTTTACTCATCCCTGCTATCATCAGTGTAAGCTCTGTTTTGGAACAACCATGTAACTTAACCTTTCACCTACTCTTGCTTGTCTCTCTCAGTTTGGACGGAGCTGGAAAACTTCCCACTGGATACGCTGTGATCGAGGGGCATCCAAACCTCAAGTAATGCTTTAAAAAAAAAATCTCAGTCTATTTTAGTATCTTTTTTCTCTTTTACTCTCAGTACCAATGTTAAATGTGACTGCCGTGTCCCTCCAGGTTGTTGTCTATGACCCAGGAGCATGGACGAGTGGAGCCCATCTCAGGACAACTGGACTACAGCAAATACCCCCTGGGCTCTCTGCTCATACTGATTCCCTACCATGTTAGTACTGAATGATTTATAGTACATCTTATTGACACATCAGTTTTATTGTACATTTTCCTGTTGTCAGACAATGTCTTTTTTTCTGCAGTCATGTGCAACAGCAGTGATGCATCCTGTGTACCATGTACACTCCAAGGGTCGTCTGGTAGGGAAGTGGACGCCCACTCGCGGGTGGTGAAGAGCTGGACGATGTCTCCCCCTTCTTGTCTCTTTGGGACAAGTGAGATATATAGAGACTCATTCCAAATAATTTACACATTAGAAACACATACAGCGATTCCTTCTTTGTTAGTGAGATGTGCCATCTTGATGGTAAAACATATAATTAATGAAAATATTCTCACTGTGGGCTTCAGAAGTTTCATACTGTAACAGAAACCATGTTGCACTAATGTTATGTCTTTAAAATTAATTTTTGTGTTCTGCACCTGTTTTTCACTGTCTGCAAGGAGACCTAGCTAGTGATGACTTAATAGAAAGTCATATCACTTGTGCTATCAGCTGTTAATACCAATGCTAATAAATGTTTATGAATGACCCTTTATATACAACTGCAAACTTTTGTGATTTATTTTTTCTATCAAAATAAAGATTTTCTTGGTCCCCTTTAATCTTCTATTTTTCTGTAATCTATGAATAAATAAGTGCCAGCGTTTGAACGGACACGTAAAAAATATCTTGGTGATAAATGTTTTTTTTAAATATTACAGAAAATACATCATTCGCATTAATAGTAACCTACATTACTTATTGAAAATATAATAATTAATCAGTCGGTAAAAACCCTTCCCCTGTAGGGTTTTAGCCGCACAGACTGAGCTGATGTTCGAAGTGCATTTTGGGAAATGTGGTTTTAGCTGGAAGCAGCGTTCCAGTTGGCCACTGAATGACCTTTCACTTGTCACGTGGTTTAAAAACTTCAGCGGGATGGCGCGGAAACTTGTCCCAGCAGCACACTGCCTTGCTGTCACTGTGTGAAAGTCGTGTTTACATTTTCATGTGGCGGTACTGACGCTGTACAGTAAGTTGTGTCGCTTTAGACGCGTTTCTGTTTTTATTTCCCACTTTTATTTGGACTTTCGGCGTGTGGCCGCTGGTTGAAGCAGGGCTGCTTCTCGCTGTTTGAGAAGAATGGCCGCCCTTCACTGTTCGTGAATAGAAACGCACTGACTGAAAACCTGCGTTAGCATCTACACCTCTGAAAAGCAAATTATATGTTGTAGTGTTACGAGCAACTAACTAAAGTCGTGCTGGTTGTCGTTGTTATCTTTAGTCATGAGTGTGCTGGAGGTGAAGTTCATCGGGGATGGCGATGTCCTGGAGCACATCGTGGACAAGCAGGAGGGTATGGATGCTCTGCTACTGTAGAAATGTTAGTTTACGAGCACTTCTGTGTCTCTCTGACTCTGCTTTCTGTACTGTGCGTACCTCCATAAGGTGCGCAGAGCATCGCCGGGTCCGTTCAGAAGATGGTAAAGTTTAAGAGCCCGGCTGGACGACGGGGATGCAGAGAGGATGCGGAACATGATGGAGATGAAAATGGAGTCCACGATGAGCAGGATTATGTCCAAGCTTTAGGAACAGATAACGCAGAAGGTGAGTGCTGAGCAGGGGTAATGACTTTCTTCACCGGGAGGTTTGTTTTCTTTGCAGACAGACCGTGATCAGCTGACGATGCTGCTGACTCAGCTCTTTACTGCTCTTTGTAGATTTACCCAAATACGTTTGGAAAAATGCAGACAGACGTTGGCTGATTTTCAGGCAAAGTACAAATGTGGAATTTAGCAAGTGCTGGTTCACCAGCTGAAATTCAACTTAGTGACAGAGACTGCATATAGTTAGCTCAAATCCCTACAAAAGCCTTGTAAAAAATATTCCTGTCACAGAGGTACTTATGATTATGACAGGAGACTTTCTGTACACCTCAGTTTCACTCCATTGCACACATTAAGTGTGTTTGTAAGATGGACTATATTGCTGATATTGACATATTATATGCTTATCAATACTGGCATATAGGCATATAATTTTTGGTGGGAAATTTGAACATTCATAATGCTGTGAAATTTTTAGCTTCGTATAAATGCATGAAAATATCTGAGGCTTTTTCTTTCTTTCTTGTTTAAATTCATTTTAAAATGACCAGTTTTCTCTTGGATTTACAGAAGATGAAGATGGCTTGTCAAGAGTGGCTGGATCCTCCATCTTTACCTTTCAGAAAGTCAAACGCAGCCACAGCATGGCCCAAACCGGTGAGAGCCTCCATTGTCTTCTCACATAGATCGGAAAACATTTGCACATTATACATCTCCTTCCAGTTCTTTCTTTAGACATCGTATATGCTCATTTTGTGTTGCACACTTTTCATAAACAGCAAGTGAGCTGGCTCGGACTCCTGGAAAAAGCGTGAGCTTCAGCGCGACCCCAAACTTTGAACCCTCAACCCCCAGTCGAACGGGGCGGAGTGAGTACAATAAACGTTCATCATCTTTTCCGTATACTCATCTTTTTGCTCATTTTCTCACAGTTAAGTATTTTCTTTTCTTCTATTTCAGACCTTAGAGGTGAAAGCAGAACACCACAGAAGGTGAGACCATAGAAACCTTTAAACTTCTTAAAGTCCAAAGCCAGCAACCTCTGGTGCCAACTTAAGAATTTTATTTTATTTTTACTTAACGGCAGAGCAAAAAGGTCCAGTTTGTCTCTACAACACCACACAGGCTCAGGAAGAGAATAGCAAGTGAGTCTGACTGGGAATAATTCAATTCATTCTAAGTGAAATTTCACCTTTCCTCTAATCTAAATGTTTTGTTTGTTTGTTTGTTTTTTTAGCTCCAAGCTTGCGGTCAGACAGCGACAGCGAGCTTTCACCCTCTGACTTGGGTGAGGAGGAGGATGAAGATGGGCTGGAGGAAGAGCAGAAAGGAAAGAAAGAGGATAAAGAGAACGTGACCACCCCGAGAACACCCAGTAAAGGTTTATCAGCAGCTCTCTACAAGACTCCTGCCAAGAAGAGCAAGAGCACGCCTGAACCTCAGAACCAGCCCAGTATGGTTGAGGAGTACTTCGAAGCTCACGGCAGCTCGAAAGTGTTGACGTCAGACCGAACTCTGGAGCGTTTGAATACCCCTAAACTTGACAGGGTTTGTTTTTAACTGCATTTTGAAACATTGTAAATGAGCTGCTTTCCTAATAGATTTAGTGTGAATTTATCTTTATTTTTGTTTTTGTAGGAAACGTTGGTCCGACTTCTGGAGGGAAAACAATCCTGTTACTCAAAAGAGATCCAGCAGCTGCACGACAAACACAGAATCCACTTTAGCAAATGGATGTTACAGTTACAGTAAGTGAGGTTGCAACGTAGTTGTGTGCATTCTCTGGTGTTTTAAGAGCAGTACAAAGTGTCTGTGCCGGTCTGTGTGTAGGCTGGGATTCAGCGTGCTGGTCTATGGTCTGGGAAGCAAAAAAGCTCTGCTGGAAGACTTCAGGGAGTCTCATCTGTCGCAAGAAATTCACCTTGTGGTTAATGGATTTTTCCCTTCCATTACTCTTAAATCAGTCAGTATACACACACACATCAAAATATTTTGCATAAATTGCATAATAAAATAAATATCCCTGATCATGAAAATTAAATTCTCACAGATATTAAACGCGCTGACGTGTGAGGTTCTGGATCACCAGGGAACTTTCCGAACCCCCTCGGACCAGATCCAGTTTATCTCCCAGACCTTAAAAGACAGTAAGCCCATCAAACTCCTGTGCATCCCAAGCATGTGTGGTTGTACTGCATGTTTTACACCGATGTCCTCACAGGCCCAGATCTGCACGTGTACCTGCTTATCCATAATATAGACGGACCCACGCTGCGAGGAGAGAAGACCCAGAGTGCACTGGGGCAGCTGGCATCCCTGCCAAACTTGCACATGGTGGCTTCTTTAGACCACATCAATGCTCCACTGGGTGGGTGTTCATAATAGTCTGCACTGAGGTGGTAATTCTGTTGAAATCTATCCTGAATACATCCTGCTTGTTTTCAGTGTGGGACCAGTTGAAGCAGAGCCAGTTTAACTGGCTGTGGTGGGAATGTGTGACGTTCCAGCACTACTCGGAGGAGACATCTTATGAAAACTCCCTCCTGGTGCAGCAGACTGGCGCTCTGGCTCTGTCCTCCCTCACACATGTGCTTCGCAGCTTAACACCCAATGCAAGGTAACTCCAAAGACCTACTGGGTAGTTGTTTTTAATCTTCTGTCTAAATGAACAAGGAGAGAGCCATGGGAGGAGCTTAATGAGGTGCTAATGAGTTATTGAAATACTAGGATCTAAATATGACATCAGATGAGAAATGTTAGCTCGCATATTAGCTTCCTTGTGATTCCTCCCAGTCCACTCCACAAAGTCATCCAATAGTGTTTTGCACTCCTGCCCATCACTAATACAGTGGTGTAAAAAGTGTTTGCCCTCTTCCTAGTTTCCTATTTATATCTTTGTCCCACTTAAAGTTTTCAGATCATAAAACAAATTTAAATATTAGACAAAGATAAAACAGGTAAATACAAAATGCACTTTCAAAATAAAGGTTTTCTTTATTAAGGGGAAAAATCCAAACCCACTTAAATAGGACCTTCCTGACAATGTGGAGCAGACTAGAAGATCCTCAAAAGCCAGTCATCACGCCACAATCCAAGGAAATTCAGGAACAAATGAGAAATGAAACAATTCAGATCTCTGTCTGGAAGAGGTGGGACCTGTGGGACTCCAGCGAACCACAGTGAGAGCTGTTATCCACAAATGGCAAAAAAGCATGGAACAGTGGTGAACCCTCCCAGGAGTGGCCGGCCTACCAAAATTACCCCAAGAACACCGCATCCAAGAGGTCACAAAAGATCCCAGAACAACATCCAAAGAACTGCAGGCCTCACTTGCCTCAGGTTAGGTCAGTGTTCATGACTCCACCATAAGGAAGAGACTGGGCAAAAATGGGCTGCATGGCAGAGCTCCAAGACGAAAACCTCTGCTGAATAAAAGGAACGTAAAGGCTTGTTTCAGTTTTCCCAGATGATCCCCAAGACTTTTGGAAAAATACTCTGTGGACTGAAAAGACAAAAGTTTAACTTTTCTGGAAGGTGTGTGTTCCATTACATCTGGTGTAAAAGTAACACAACATATCAGAAAAGGAAAATCATAGCAACAGTAAAATATGGTGGTGGAAGTGTGATCCTCTGGGGCTGTTTTGCTGCCTCGGGACCTGAAAGACTTGCTGTGGTAAATGGAACCATAAATTCTGCTGTGTACCAAAACATACTGAAGGAGAATGTCCGGCCATCTTTTCATGACCTCAAGCTGAAGAGCACTTGGGATCTGCAGCAGGATAATGATCCAAAACACACTAGCAAGTCCACATCTGAATGGCTTCAGAAAAACAAAATGAAGACTGACATGAATCCGATACAGATGCTGTGAAATTACCTGACTGAATTACAGCAATTCTGCAAAGATGATTGAACCAAAGCCTCGGTCAGCAGTCACAGGCTGGGATGAGATGAACGTGTTTACTGACACATCCTGTAGCTTGTCTCTGAGTAGCAGTGGCTGAAACATATTAAAGGCACTTGAGAAATCAAAAAAAGGTTATCTTCACCACGCAGCTGTTATTATCTAGTTGCGAGTAAATATAGATGATTGCAATTGTTCATCCACTCCCAGATTTGGTCTGTGTGCAAACTGCAGAAGGTCAACAGGTGTTTTCACCTGTGGTCTTAGATGGGCCCAGATCAGTTTCAAAAAACTGCATGTACAGACTCGACAGTCAAATCTTATTGTGAGAAGTGCTTCAAGACTTGTAGCTTTTCAAAGAGTTTATGAAGCTTTTATTTCAAGAGTGACAACACAGCAAGTGTTTTCCTACCAGGACACTGAAGCCAAGAAAAATAGTAAGTGTATATACTCATAGGGAATATGGTTGTTTGTTGTTGAGAATGATATTGTTTCTTTTGGACAACCATTGTCTTTGCTGTCACTTTATTCACTCATTTGTGATTTCTGTTCTAAATTCTGTTCGAGTCTGACCTCCTCTCATTATGTACAGAGCTGTTGGGGGGGGAAAAAACTCAACTGCTTGTTTTTCTTTTTGCAGAGGAATCTTTAAACTGCTGGTCAAGTTCCAGCTGGAAAACAAAGATAATCCTTCATACGCAGGTGCGCATTCACATTCGGCTTTTATGTCTCCGTTTTCTAGTGCAGTTTGTAATCAGTTTGTCCTCTGTGCAGGATTGTCATTCCAGGATTTCTACCAGCGATGTCGAGAGGCATTCTTGGTGAACTCTGACCTCACGCTGAGGACTCAGCTGACAGAGTTCAGAGACCACAAACTGATACGGACACGCAAGGTGGACTTCCACTTTAGAATTCCCCAACTCTCATTCATTAAGTGTCTGCAGTACCTGGGGCTTATCATATTTATTTGCTTTGCTTCAGGGAGCAGATGGAGTAGAGTACCTGATTGTTGCTGTGGATGCAAGCACACTGATGGATTTCCTGGAGAACGAAGAGGGTGACTGAGTGGACGAGACTTCAGACGTATGAATCATCTCTTCCCGCAGATGTGCAGCAGCACAGTTACATTGGAATAAGATGTGAGCCCCAGGGTTCTGAACAGTTTAAATTATAGATTAAATTTATTTTTTTGCACCATTCACGCATACAGCCAACATCTATGTAAATAAAAACATTTAAAGTTAATGCATTGCTGTTTATTTTCTTTACAGAAATAGATTTACATTTAGCAAAACATACAATCTTTTGTTCTTACAAAGCAATAAGGCATGCAGCTATAAAAAGACAGCAGGGGAACTGATGAGTCCACACGTGAAAGCTGGAACTGAAGTAGTGTCATGCCATGCATATTGCAGGCAGATGTTAATGGGACAAAGTGGGCACCTTTTATGAACCTGAGCTTAGTGTTAAATGTGGAAGGATGGGGTTAGCCCTGAGCGCATGCTGTGAAACGTATCAATGTTGGATTTCAGCTGTTTTCTGTGTTTGCTGTGTCTTTGTAAGCCTTTCTGAGTCCAGTGTGTAGATCTGAAGTCTGTTCTGTGTGGCGGTGTGTACAACATGAAGCTCCTCTTCATCCAAATCTTTCAGCAGCAGCAAAACGGCATCAAGAGCGTGCGACTGAAAACACAAGTTTTATTGTTAGCTGGCAGATTACAAACCAAACATTCCAGGTTTGAATGAATTTCACAATATAAATAGATCTATTGGCTCTATTATGCTTTTCCACATCATCTGTCCTATATACACACCTGCAGTGCTGGATGCTAATATTAGGCAAGGTCAGTTTCAAGTAATCATCTGCATAGGGCATGCAGTCCTATAACCTTAAAGCTCATCTTCATACTACTCTAAGTGATAGTATTCCACTAACAGGATGGAGTGCCAAGTTATCATCTAATGCTACCAAGCTTGGTTAGCAAACTGGATCCATAAACAGTATGAGTGCACCACAAAGAAACACATAACTGCTAATTAGTGCTATGCAACTATGCACCAGGTCATTATTTCTTAGATAATACCATTAACCTCCTCGGACCTGGCGTCACATTTTGGGTTATTTAGACCAAACTACTCAATTTTGCTCTACAAGGGCCTGATATCCACTTACGAGGACATTATACTGCTACTGTTCTATCAATTTTAAACGTATATTTTTAAATATCCTCATATGTGGCTCTCATTTCACTTAGAAACAAAAATAAGGTAAAAAAAAAAATCTGGTAATTTTTTGTTTTTATATTCATCGTGTCCCAATATGCCCAAATATCAAAGAGAAGTTAAAAATGCATGCCGTGGAAGAGTTCAGGTCTTAGGAGGGTAATATGCTCCAAAGGCAAAAAAAAAAAAAAAAAAAAAAAGGGCACAGTAGTACTGTTATGGCAGTATTGACTAATCTAGTACCCAACAGTAACTCGCCCATTTGCATTTGGCCTTAAGTTAGTGGCGTGGACTCGGTTGGTTAGACTTCAACTTTGCTAGTTTGGGACACTAAACTGTACATTTCTATTGTATTGGTCAGTTGTTGCCAAAATTAAATAAACTGTCTGAAAAAATGATATGGTCTGCTGTGAAGATATAGCTAGCACAGTAAATTGCACAGTTTTTTTTAGTCTGTTACTGAATGCTCATTTTTTGTTATGTGTTTTTGTGAGATACACATGTACAGCTTATAAATGCTGCTGCTAGCATCAGCTGATAATGCCGACCAAATGGTGGAAAAGTCTAGATCGCCATAGAGCTAAAGTGGAAGCTCCAAAATACAGAGTCCCGAAAACAACTGAGGCGGTTACACACATCTTTTATATACTTTCTATGCTTGAACGTTTGATCATGAGGGGTGGCCAATCTAAAGAAAGCTGGCAAGGCAGCTCGTTTCAGACATTCTGTGAACTGAAAGGCGGCACCAAGCTACAGCCTAAGACAGAGGAGCGTTTGTTTGAACTGTGAGTCATACAAAGCTACTTTAGTAGAGTCCAGGTCCACAAAAATTTTAAGGGACACAGTGATGAGAGGAGCTACCTTTTTGATTGGTTTGCTTTCTCTGGTTGATGGAGAGGACAGGGAAGAGAACTTGTCTCTGGAAAGTGGCTTCATTCCCAGCTCTTCTCTGATTTTGCTAGAAACAAAAGTTAACAGAAATATTTTCTTCTGTTAATTTTACTTCAGTTTTCGCATTTTCTGCAAACTATAAGTTGTTTCAGGCCACAAGACCTACTTTGTCTCCTCCATGTTGTAGTTTAGAGGGTCGTTCTCTGTCTCTGCATCCTGAAGTCCGTTGGTTGTATGCTGGTTCTGGATACTACCTGGGGGAGTTGTGACCTCTTCACCTTCCATGAGAGCCAGTGAAATTTCATCATCTGTCACTACTGTACACAGGAAACATTGAAGAATAGCTACAGTAAGAGTCAGACTTCAATTCAACTTCCTAGATCTGACACTGATTTTCAACCTCAACTTTTTCATGAGGATGATGAGTGGCTGCTAATAAAGTGCTTAAACAGTCGAGGTAAGCAGACGGTAGTGTGGCCCCAAAACATCACACAGTCACCTTGGTTATCGAGTTTCTGGAGACGAGGGAGGCAGCGAAGCACTGTGAGGCGATACTGGGTGGCATCGGTTCCACAGCAGGGGTTCTCAGCTAGCCAGAGCACTCTGAGACGAGTTAACGGTCTCAGGTGAGAGAGCTCAGAGAGCGAGGGGATCATGTTCCTTCTCAGGTAGAGTTCACTCAGAGACAGACAGCCAGCCAGAGGAGAGAGAGACAAGATGCTGTTGACACTGCAGACAGATGAAAGAGAATCATAGCCTGGTGTTACTGGGTCGTCCCAAATGAGTCTGTGCATTTGTGACTGTGAAATGATTTTATGTGTGTGGCAAAGGGACCTACCTCAGTGTCAGCACTTCAATGTTTGGCATCTGAGCGAAGATAGAAATCTTAGAAGACACATGAATCCATGCAACTTTCATTAAGTATGAACACTAAATTAATTGTCAGAGTAAACATGACATCCAAGTTTGCTACTCACATCAGTCAAGTTGCATCCCCTGCAAAAATAAGATGTAACCTAACGTTACCACAGATAGGAGACACAACACAAATGGTACCTGTTCACGTCAATGATCACTATGTAATTAAAAGGGCAACAAAATTACTGGTATGCCAAAATGGATGCACTTACCAGCAGTTCAGTTTTTTCACGCTCTCCAAGTCGGAGGCCTTCGCCTTAGCAAGAACCAGTTTCCGTGTTAGCTTCATAGCAAAACATTTAACTTCCTTTTAAATTAATAATATTTTCAATGGGCTAAATATTCACAAACAACAAAAGCCACATCGTGACAAGCTAATTGACCAAAGACTTCAACTCGCAGCCGCAGGGATGTTGTCGTACGCCACATTAATACGCATGCGCATATCAGCTTAAGCGTCCATGGTAACGGGTTAATATCTTTTATTTATAGTTTTCCGTAGATTACGCTGTTTTATCAAAAATTCTAATTTAGCTATAATACCAGAGCTAAAAAAATATATTTATATATATTATCGTAAGCGAACTTTTACGTTTTTGTACAATGTCTGCGTTTTACGAAAACTCAAAGTCCCAGAATGCAGCGTGAACGGACTGAGTAAATCGCGCCTGCGCGTTAAGCAATCCCTCTTTGGACCTACGTCTCCCACTGAAACGATGGTGAGCAGAGCTTGTTCCGACCCTAATCCTTGTCAATCTTACAGTTTCACTGCTATAAATGATATAATCGCTTATTAGGTGGTTTCGTGTTGACCTTTTTTGCCATACCTAGCCTTAATTTATGTCCGTTTTGGGATTGGATCAGCAGTAAAAACGATGTTTTCATTCTCCATTGAGACAGAAATGGCGGCCACCATTGCTAAACTGTGTGAGCTCCAAGTACCGGGCAGGCTAGTGACACTAGCTCCTTAAGTCCCGGTCTTTTGAGCGTCCACAATTAAATAAGTCCGAACTGAAATGTGTAATGCCCCACCAAAAAGTGGTCGTTTGATACAGTTAAACGAGAACTGCTCAGTTGACTTTAGTTAGCATTTTGGCTAACCTGCTGAAAGGAAGCTTATGTTGGCTGGCTAATGGTCACAGCAGCTTCTTCACCCTTGTTGCTCAGATTTTGCAGGATTATAGTCAGAAGTAGTTTTTTTTTTCCGCTTTCTGGGGCCACCCTGGGCGCTTCTCCCGACACTTCTTCCTGTAGTAGTAACGGCAGAATGCTGAAGCCATTTGCTTGTAGTTTTAAACCACAAAATCCCATGGTTACTGTATTTTCTCACTGTGTGTTCATGTTATCCACAGGCCAAGCGCACCAAGAAGGTGGGGATCGTTGGTAAATATGGCACGCGTTATGGCGCGTCGCTGAGGAAGATGGTGAAGAAAATTGAAATCTCCCAGCATGCTAAGTACACCTGCTCTTTCTGCGGAAAGGTAAGGACAACAGTGGAGACCACCCACATAATGTACAGTAGCAAAGACCTGGTCAGTGTTAGAAATGCTTTCTGCAGACTACGCTGCTTACATTACATAATTCTAGTGCTCAAGGATGTGTCCAGTTAAGTTGAGTTTCCACTTTTGTGTTCTCACTATGCAAATTTGTATTTACAGACCAAGATGAAGAGGAGGGCTGTTGGAATCTGGCACTGTGGGTCCTGTAGAAAGACAGTGGCTGGAGGTGCCTGGACTTACAAGTAGGTTACTTTCCCTCTTTGGTCTAATTCTGTCATTCGACTGCTGCAGACGCTGAAGTTATGATTAGAAAAGGGGTTCAAAAATTCCCTCAGCTGTTTGTCTTTTTTTTTTTTTTTCTTCTCATCATTAAGTTTTTCTAACTTGGGTGACAGTGTGCCCACGGCGAAAGCAGGATTCTTTGTTTGTTTTCTGCTCACCCTCCACCTGCGTTGATTGTGCCCCTCCACACTCAGAACACCTGTGTGATGTGTTAAAGCCTTTAATGGTCATCAGGTGTAAATAATTGTGTCCTTTTAAAATAAATAAGCCAGAGTTGACTCAGTGAACATTCATATCACTCACTACATTACTTTGAAAAAAGTATCCAGTCATCTTAGAGACCTAATTAAACTTTGAAATTCAATCTACTCAGCCTGAGTGATCATTTAAAGGGTATGTGTCCAGCTTTGTGCTGTGCACACACTTTCTTACATGCAGTTTGCATTTATATGGTGCATGACAAATGTGATGTAGCTATATAACCAGCTCCCTCTCCGGTGAGCTTCTGATACTCCAGCTCTACGTATCTTGGCCTGCTGCTGGTGATGGTAGGTGTTTTGCTCGACTGTGGCACATGAACCAGTTCTCCACATGGTTTCCTTAGATTCCAGATAGCAGGAGGAAGACTTGTTAACAACTTGAGTCCAAGAATTTTGTGCTTGAGTGCATCAGGCTGTTGGCCAAGGTTTTCTCTAGAGAAGGAGCTTACTAATATCAAGAACTGGCACAGTAGTAACCTGGAGAGAAACCAGCAGGTAGGAAAGGCAGAGGCTGGATAGATAGCAGCAAGTTTAAAAAATAAAAATGAATTACAGCAACACTGCATTCAGTCTAATAAGTAACAAACCAATAACTTAAGTGGAAATGCTTGTTTCTCCGTTGATGCTAAAAGGCTTCAAAGAAAAGTGAATGTTCTTGGTCTTGGCGAGTTCACAAAAACCAAAGTGGTTCTCACTACAGAGCAACGTGTCCGTCCTTCAAAAACATTGAGAATGTTGTGTTTGTAGAAGCTAATAATTGTCTTTGCACCCCCCCAACTTCTCTTGCAGCACAACATCTGCTGTCACAGTCAAGTCCGCTATCAGGAGGCTGAAGGAGTTGAAGGACCAGTAAACCAGCGACCATGATAGCTGGTGGATTTGGGACTTTGTTTTCTATCATTTAACCGAGCTGGACATGTCCTCAACATCCAAAAATAAAACAGTCTGGAGCGGAGTTTGTGTCTTTGTACGTTTGTTTACTGTGCAGCTGTAAAATAGAAAGTGCGAGGGTTGTAACCTGCAAGAAGACTCTTCAGTAGCCCTTCATTGAGGATACTTCGGTGGAGTTCAGGTTATCTCTAAACCCTCTGAAACAGCAGGTCTTTTTGGGTGGGGGGTAAAATGAGAAACCACAGGGGGTCTTTGAGATCTATGGGTAACATTTTGGTTTCAGTGAAGCATCACGTGGGAATATCTCTGCAAAGTTAAAGGAAACATTGATGTGAAATTATAACTAATCTATCTGTAACAGCTGCAAATACATGTGTTACACCCGTACACCTTTGATTACTAGGCAGGATGTCAATTTATCCATCCTTGTACAATTGCTTTAGAATGATATCAGTTAACCTTGTATGTCTTGGTGCTGTGAGAGAAAACATGCAACCTGTGAACTCCACGCAGAAAGAGCCCAGCCAAACTGGTTTAAGCTTTATTGCAACAAGTCAACATTGCTGACTGCTCCATCGCTGTGGGACATGCATTAGGACCATTTTGGTGAGAAAAATGGAAAAAATAGTTTTAATGAATCAAATGGTTAGGTTGAAAATATACACAAATTTGTTGATAAGATGATGAACAGTAAATATAAACCAAAATAATTAACCTTTTTGGGCTGGAAGGGGAAAAAACTAAAATCTAACACTGATCCAACCTGTTCCGTGGAGCTCAGAAACATTTATTTAAATGAATTAAATAGCATTTACACTCACACGAAAACATTTGGTAACCCCTCTCAGCATCATAATAATTCACTCTGTTTTCACCAAAAAAGATGACAGTGGTATGTCTTTTATTTTCTAGGAATATCTGAGTACTGCTGTGTTTTCCAGAAAAAGATTTTTAGTGAAGCAGTATTTACTTGTATGAAATTTAATGTAAAAACCTGCTGTGCAAAGAATTGGGTACACAACAAAATTAGCTTGTTAAGTCTTGAACTTTAAATACAGATGTGTCCAATCATAAGAAAAGGTATTTAACCTTTGGATGCACAACCTACCAATACCTACACTCTTCCACGAGTGGGGTCAAAAATGACCCCAAATAGAAACAATGCATTTTGCTATAAACTCGGTTGTTATTCTTCAAAATCTTTAAAACGAAGAGTTGTAATATTTTCATATTCCAGGTATTCCTCATAAAACATGTTTGTGACATTTTTATTTATTTTTTCATTAATTTTAAGAAATTGCAGTTTTTGTATCACTTTTGTATGCTTGCTCTGCATATACTGCAGAAGCTGGGTCTTCCCTCTGAAAGGCACAAAATGTTCATCCACTGTAACACAATCACTGAGGATGAAATTCTGCCTGCAGTTAACCAGGAACACGCCCCATATGTAGCAGAAAGCTGCCATGTGGTTTGTTTTCAGTCGGTAGGCTCTGGTCCTCTTGTCATCAATGTGCAAGAGAGGGCAAATATCTTTAAATCTTTGAATTGACATAGTGGCCTTGTAAATGGGTTATGCAGAGGACTCCCAAAAAACACACCGACTGGTACATCCCAGTTCTTCTCACTTCCTGCAAGAATGGTCAATCAAATGAACGCCAGGATGTTTGATTACATCTTTCCACTCTTTTCCCCTGTCTGTGGCTACTCTTTGTGCTTCTATGTTTGTGCATGTCAGCACCTCTTCTATTAAATTATCAGACATGAACATCTTCCATGCATTTACTGGGGAGAAAGTACTAAACCCAGGTGCAAGCCCTGGCCGACTAATTCAGAATATTGTGGCTAGAGCAGTAAGAGGGGCTCATTCTGTTAGACTCAATATCCATTTCCTCCTCAGAAGACTCATCAGAGGACTCCTCTGTATCTGACTGGCCTTGTTCTGTGGGGGGGGGGGGGGCAATAGTCTGGGTCCTCTATATCTTAGATGTCAGATTCTGAGTCAGTGCTGATGGGCTCTTCATCCCATCCGTCCTGGATCATTTGTAGGTCAAGGTCCACAGGGATCCTAGCTGGCCTCATAGCAGCCATGTTGAAAAAGAGGTCTTTGATCTCAACGGGACATTCCTGGTTAAATAAAGGTTAAATAAATAAAAAAAAAAATGTTACTTTAAATATTTAAAAATAAATAAATCAGAAAGAACAAGGTTTGAAATGCACAGGAAATTATAACCAGGGCTGTACATAAATGGTCCTGAGGTGCGCATTTGCTGTCAAAATAAAAGATAGATTCATTTAGGAAGAAAGAGCTTTGGACTGATGAAATAATAGAGTGTTTTGGTCATAACAAAAAGCACTTTACATGGCAGAGGAAACGCCACATTCCAAGAAAAACACCTGCTACCCACTGTCAAATTTGGTGAAGACTTCAACATGTTGTGGGCTGTGGGGCTACTTCATAGACTGGGGCCCTTGTTGAAGTCCAGGGTCGGATGAAGACCCTGGACTTCAGAGAGAATAACAGAG